CTCTTAGAGGCTTGACTCTCGAACAACTCAGCGCCGAGATGGGCCATGAGGGCCTCGCCATGCAGCTGCAGCCCCCGCCGCGGACAATCCCATTGTTGCGTATGTGCGGCGGCTTCGAAGACTTCGACCCCGCGCTAGAAGTGTTGGACACGGACAAGCCGGTGATTGGCAGCACTGTGGCCCCGAAAACTTTCAGCATGAAGTTGGATGAAGTTCAGAGGGAAGTTGAGCTCGTGCCGAAACCAGCCCAACCTCTGGTGTACGTAAGGCACGATGAGCACAAGGACATGGATGGCAACACCCAGAAGACAAAATAAGCTCGTGCAGATGGTTGGAGCTCACGTGGATGATTTGAACGGCTGTGATCCTCCAGACGGGAAGGTCCACAACGAGCTTATCAATATACTCGAGAAGCATTTCGGCAAGCTGAGGGTCCGGAAGTGCGGCAAGTTCGAATGTTGTGGTGTTGTTCACGCGCAGTCTGACGATTACCAGACAGTCGACGCAACTCAGGGCCACACATGGAGCAGCTCCAGGCCATCGTTCATCCGAGCCTTGGTGCGGCTCCAACCGCAGACTTGGTGAACGAAGAGGTGCGCGGATTGTTTGTATCACTTCGTGGTGGTATGTCTTGGGTGTGTATGTGCCGTGCGGATGCTTTGGTGTGCGTTGGCTATTTGCAGCGGTGCTGTGATACTACGCGCCCACCTGGGTATCGTGACGCCCGTGACATCAACGAGCTTCTCAGGTGGCTCAGAAGACAGAAGAACCACATCAGGTGCCAGGCCTTCCCCGGCGAACCGCTGCTCAAGATGGTCGGTGATAGCGCTTTTCGCGCAGCTGAGCCAGATTGCCTGGCCTTTCGCGGCCTCGCCGGGGGCGTCGGCAGCCGGGGTGGCGATGTCTACATGGCCATCGATTTCTGGGCGCGGAAGCAGGCCAGAGTGCGCCGCAGCACCTTCGCAGCCGAGATGCGCAACCTCAGCGAGGCGGCGGAGGAGGGCGTGCTTCTGGCTGGGCTCTTCAAGGACGTCTTCTACGGCACCGCGTCCGCAGCCGAGTTGGCACGTGGGCTGGAAGATTGCGCCCTCGACGTGAAGATCTCCTTATATGTGGGCGCTATGTCTGTCTTCGCCGCGATGCCAACGAGTGCGCGAAGTGCCCGACCGAGCAACAGATGTTGTGCGAGATCAATGCTCTCAAGCAGCACCTGCAGGCCGGCGGGGTCGAACGCTTGATTTGGGTTGACACGCGGGACATGTTGGCGGACGCCCTGGCGAAACGCAAGGTCCCTAGGGGTGCCTTGCTGCGGGCTTTGGCGACAAGGCGGTGGAAAATCGAACGTTCTGGACAACGTTCGGGTCTTCCCAAAGATCCGCCAGCCGAGCCAGTTTTACTGCCCGGCGGAGGTGCGCGCCAACGAGTGCAAGCAGGATTGGGACATGAAGCGCATCATCATGATGTCTCTGGGGGTGCGTCCGTCGCCACAGCCTTGTCCGTGGAGGTGGTTGCCCATGAAGACAGAGATGTATCGCAGAGCGAACCCGGGGCAGCTCCCCAGGCTGGGCGCGCTGATGGACAAGTGCACCGATCACGAAGAGCAGTGGCTGGAGGCCTTGATCCAGATGTGCCAGCGCACGAAGGTCATTAGCGACGTCTTGTCCGAGATTGACCAGGGGCGTGACGCGCGGGAGGCGATGTGCAAGCAGGGCGAGACAGACGCTGCATCCGGATCGGCGCTGGACAGCGCCTCTGACGGAGCAGGCCGGATTGGCACCAGCAGCGCCTCTGACGGATCGAGCGGGATGGGCACCAGCAGTGCCCCATGGCCTCGGCCCACCAATCGTGGCGACGAGCAGAGCAGCGCCCGGACGTTGAGCTACAATGTTTTCTAGGTGTGCGGTCTTCCAAGGCACTGGGGCAATGAGTGCCCATATGTTCCGCCTTGGAGGAAGCGCCCCCTGGCTGGTCTGGCGCGGAATGAGTCTCCTAAGAAGCGCCAGCGCACGCAGACTGACAGTTAGGAACAGCGAAGAATGTCAACAAGACATCTTCGAAGGAGAACGTACCAAAGTCGAAGAGTACATGTGTCTCCCTCATCAGCGTGCAAGCAGGTAGCAGTAGCATGAGAAACAGCAAGCAGGGCCGCTGCAATTCAGACTCGAGTCAGCGCAGAGCTAGCCTTTTTTGCCTGAGACTGAAAACGCATTCGGTCTATCATGATTGCCTTTGGTTATCTTTGATATTGCTTTGGTTATCTCCCTATCGACTAGTAGTTGTAGTAGTAGTAGTAGTAGTAGTAGTAGTAGTAGCAGTCGTGGTATCTGTAATAGTAATCTTAGTAGTAGTAGTAGAAGAAGAACACGTAGAAATAGTAGTAGTAGTAGTAGTAGTAGTAATAGTAGTAGTAGCAGTAGCAGTAGTAGTAGTAGTAGTAGTAGTAGTAGTAGTAGTAGTAGTAGTAGTAGTAGTAGTAGTGGTGGTAGTAGTAGTAGTAGTA